ACATAAGGCAGATACGTGTCATTTCTGTAACAAGGAAGGACACTATCAGAAAGAAAGATTGCCTGAAATGTAAAGCTTGGTTCGAAAAGAAAGGTACAATTAATGCTTTTATATGTTTCGAATCAAATTTAATAGAAGTTCCTAAAAATACTTGGTGGCTTGATTCTGGTGCAACTGCTCGTGTATCTACTACGTTGCAGGGATTCCTTACGATCCAAACTACAAATCCAAATAAGGATTTCTTGTTCATGGGAAATCGTATGAAGGCTCCAATTAAAGGCATAGGGACTTATCGTTTGACCATGGAGACTGGACGTCACCTTGATCTATTACAGACTCTTTATGTACCTTCAGTTTCTAGGAATTTGATTTCTCTTTCAAGACTTGATGTTTATGGATTTGATTTAAAGTTTGAAAATGGATGTTTCAATTTATATAAGAATACTATTTTTTATGGTTCTGATTTTCTTAGTGATGGTTTATATAAATTGAAACTCGATATTAGTTTTTCTGAATCCCTTCTTACTATTCAATATAATGTTGGAATTAAACGTAGTTCACTAGATGAAAGTTCTACTTACTTGTAGCATAAACGTTTGGGTCATATATCCAAAGAAAGGTTAAAAAGATTAGTAAAGAATGAGATTCTTCCGAATCTAAATTTTACTGATCTTACTATATGTTTGGATTGCATTAAGGGAAAGCAAACCAAGCAAAGTAAGAAAGGTGCCACAAGAAGCACCCAGCTTTTTGCAATTATATACACCGACATTTGTGGACCCTTTGATGTTCCATCTTTTGGTGGAGAAAAATATTTTATCACTTTTATCGATGACTTTTCACGTTATGGATACATCTATTTGCTGATAGAAAAATCTCAAGCAACAGATGCTCTCAAAGTGTTTGTTAATGAGGTTGAAAGGCAATTAGATACAAAGGTGAAAATCATTAGGTCAGATAGAGGTGGTGAATATTATGAAAAATATAATGAATCAGGACAATGTCCAGGTCCATTTACGAAGTTTCTCGAGGAACATGGCATATGTGCACAGTATACTATGCCAGAAATACCTCAACAAAATGGTATTGCAGAAAGGCATAATCGAATACTTATGGATATGGTTAGGAGCATGATAAGTAATTCCTCATTATCCAAATCATTGTGGATGTATGCTCTTAAAACCGTTGTATATTAAGTAAGGCAGTTCCAAAGACCCATTTTGAACTGTGGACAAGAAGGAAACATAGTTTAAGGCACCTGCATGTTTGAGGTTGCCCGGCGAAAGCTAGAGTTTATAATCCACAAGAAAAGAAATTAGATTCTCAAACAGTAAGTGGTTACTTTATTGGTTACCCAGAAAAATCTAAAGGGTATGTGTTTTACTGTCCAAACCATAGTTCGAGAATTGTTGAAACCGATAATGCAAGATTTATTGAGAATGGTGAAGTTAGTGGGAGTGTTGAAAAGCAAAGTGTGAAAATAAAAGAGGTGAGGGTCAATATTCTATTACCCACGAATGTGCCTACTTCCACACAAATACCAAATATTGTTCCAGTTATTGAAGAACACTTTGACAATACTGAGGAACATTTGGATGAAACACTTCATGAAGAAACTAACTCACAAATATCTGACACAAATGAACCACAAGAAATGCCATTAAGAAAATCTCAAAGAGTTAGAAAATCGGCTATTTCGGATGATTACGTGGTTTATTTGCAAAAATCAGATTTTGACATTGGTCTTAATAAGGATCCGGTTTTATTTTCACAAGCCATAGAAAGTAATGAGTCTGACAATTGGATTGATGCCATGAAGGAAGAGCTAAAGTCCATGGAATACAATAAAGTCTTGGATCTCGTTGAATTGCCAGAAATTTCTAAAAGAATCGGGTGTAAATGGGTCTTTAAGACCAAACGTGATTCAGATGCCAATATTAAACGATACAAAGCCAGACTTGTTGCCAAGGGTTATACTCAGAAAGGAGGCATTGATTATAAAGAGACCTTTTCACCGGTCTCAAAGAAAGACTCGTTAAGAATTATTAAAGCGTTGGTGGCTCATTATGATTTAGAGTTACACTAAATGGATATGAAAACTGCCTTTCTTAATGGAGAGCTCGAGGAGGAAGTTTATATGGACTAACCAGAGGGTTTCGAAACTTAAAGGAAAAGGTCAAATGGTGTGTAAACTGAAGAAGTCAATATATGGACTTAAACAAGCCTCACGACAATGGTATATAAAGTTTAATGATACCATAACATCTTTTGGATTTGTGAAAAATACCGTTGATCGGTGTATATACCAAAAGATCAGTGGGAGCAAGTTTATATTTTTAGTCCTATATGTTGATGATATTCTACTTGCTGCTAATGATTTAGGCATATTGCGTGAGACTAAAGATTTTCTCTCTAAGAATTTTGAAATGAAAGATATGGGTGAGGCATCCTATGTGATAGGAATAGAAATATTCCGTGATAGATCACAATGATTATTATGATTGTCTCAAAAAGGCTATATCGAAAGAGTTCTAGAGAGATTTAACATGAATAATTGTTCAGCAGAAATTGTTCCAATTCAAAAAGGGGACAAATTTAGTCACATGCAATGCCCTAAGAAAAATGTAGAACGAAAGGAAATGGAATCAATTCCTTACTCTTCTATTATTGGTAGTCTGATGTATGCTCATACTTGCACAAGACTGCATATTAGTTTTGCGGTCGGGATGCTGGGAAGATACCAGTGTAACCCAGGAATTGATCACTCGAAAGCTGCAAAGAAAGTTTTGAGGTACATGAAAGGAACGAAGGATTATATGCTTATGTATAGGAGATCCAAGCATTTGGAAGTTGTTGGATACTCGGATTCAGATTTCGCTGGATATATTGACACTAGAAAGTCCACGTTTGGTTATTTCTTCCAATTAGCTGAAGGAGCAATATCGTGAAAGAGTGCCAAACAGTCTGTCATTGCTACATCTATAATGGAAGCAGAATTTGTGGCATGTTTTGAAGCCACAATTCATGTATTATGGTTGCGAAACTTTATTTCAGGACTTGGGGTTGTCGACATCATTACCAAGCCGTTGAAAATTAACTGTGATAATTTTGCAGCAGTATTCTTCTCCAAGAACGATAAGTACTCAAAAGGTGCCAGACATATGGAATTAAAATACTTTACCATTGAGGAGGAAGTTCAGAAACAAAGAGTATCACTTTAGCATATTAGAACTGATCTCATGATTACAGATCCATTAACGAAAGGTTTACAGCTAAAGATATTTAAAGAACATGTACATAGAATGGGTCTTGGCTGTATTTATGATTGATGTATTTATGATGTTTTGACACTCTGAGCTCATTTATATGTTTCTGATATACATTAATGATTCATGTTTCTCATAATGGTGTACACATTATTATTTTGAGATGCTACAAGATAAGTCTCAATGAGATATTATTGCGGACCATAATATTTTATAGCTTATGGACCTGGTACGATGAGCTGCTAATGTTGTAGTATATGGAAGGGAGTATGTAGACAAATTATATATAACCGCCATAACTCACATTTAGTAGTTTATCGTGTTATGAAATTTATGATAGACATTATAGAAGAAATTTGTTTATGCGCAACTAATGTTTATATGATTAAATATTAATGTTATGTGATTATTGGGCCAAGTGGGAGAATGTAAGATTTTTCTATGTTTATTGGTGGCCCAATAAGTTTAAGGCCCATAATTAATATTTAATTAATGAGTAAATCTCATCCGTTCGATCAGTTACTTGATGGACGTACCGAATTAAGTGAGAACCTCTATAAATTGGTCCTCTCCCCACCCATTAGGTTACCGTATTTTATTTTTCTCTCTTCCATCACTAAAGTCGAAGGTAACGAAAGCTAGGGCAAGGGGCGAGAAACCAATTTGAATTAACGCTTTCACTTCACGATGATGGCTTACGATTCAGGTATGTTTTCTGTACGATTTTGTGTAAGATTATCATGTTCAAGATCTTGGTATGCAATTAAAGTTTATACTCACAGAAAAAAGCCAGTAATCCTACACTATTAAATGTCCAAGAAAGTTCTATTAATTTCAATCCAAGAAAATTCTATTAATGTTAGTGCATGGCTTCTTTGCGACATATAATTAGCAAATACTCGAACACCCAATTTAGAGAAATGCTGCAAATGTACTTCCCATTCATGGGCATCTTCGAAAAAGCTAAAATTTAAACTTTCCAATTCATGATTTTTTAGTACGAGCAAACAAATGGATACCCAATTCGAAAAAAATGCTAACAGTTAGACCTCTCCATTGATGGCCTTAACATATAAGCATAAACCCTGTTTAGAATATACAAAAATGACAAAATAAGAGTGCTTAGAGATGAATTCAGTACGTCAAAACCCAGAAGATCAACTCGAATTTAAAAGTTTTAGTCAAGAAGGGGTCGTTACTGGCCTTTGTTTTCCGATGACGAGGTCATTTCCTTGCGATGGATAATATCAACGATGTATTGAAGATTGTGATTTGGATGGGACCTATTTTTCAGTTGATTATGGTTATGGCAATAGCCATGGAGTGGTATTGGTGGCAGCCATAGAAGAGGAAGATACGAGGAAGAAGCAGACGGACGGGTCGAGACTCTGAAGAAGATGAGACACTTGTGTGCGTTTGGAGGGGGGTGTTTTCTATTTTTTCTTTTAAATATTATAAGTATTTTTTTTCTTTGAGAGGACACATGTCACAGCCGTATTGATGCATGATAATACACATATTTTGAAGAACTGGTCAAAAAAAAAATGGTCTTAGACATACTTTAGAAAGATTGAATGTGTAAGATATTTTATGTGTCAGAAAGTATGTAATAGAGATTTGGTCCATAATTTATAGAGTAACTGATTATTATCAAAAATATTTTTTTAAAAAATAATTTTAAAAAATATATTTATTAAAACAAGCTAATTTTAGAAGCTAAACCAAACAGATTGGGGGAGCAGCCCAACCTTCTCTCTCTCAAAATTTTTGCCCTCTATCTCTCTTTGTAAAGAGAGCAGCCTCCAGCCCTTTGGCTCTCTCGTCTCCCTCGTTTGAGAAGTTACCGGCGAACTCCGGCCAGCCACCCCCGTCCTAGGCTGTCTGATCTCGCTGCCCTACTCTCATCTCTCTCACCTCTCTTTCCGTTGCGACGAACTCATCGGGAATCGGTGAACCTGCAGATGGCGTTTCAGGTCTAACGAGATCTGGCCGGAAACGATGTTAAATCCGGCGACCTCGTTTGAAATCGACACCATGTTTATCTCATTTTGATGCTGACTTGTTTGTTATTGTTGTTGTGCTCGATTTTCTGGCAGCCTGTATTCCGATGACCGTCCGAGGAAGTAACGCCGGAAATAATACCGGTGAAGACTCCTCTTGCTCTGCCGTTTTCATTTTTTCCAGATCTGGACGGAGACTCAGATTTTGGCCCGAATTGTGCCGTTTCTGGTGACCATTGAGGCTTCTCTTACATATCTCGATGCTGCCTCTGTTTGGATCCTTGTTTACGCTGTTCTTTCGTCTGCTTTAATTACTTTGTTACTGTTGTTACTACATTATTTTGACGCGGTTTGGTTATATTTCCATTTTTTGCGTTCTTGATGCTTCTGTCTTTGTTGTTGCAATTGGGTTCCGTTTGGTTTGCTGTTGTTCTAAGGGACTTGTCCGGTTGTAATTTCCATGAGGCCGTAAAGCTCGTCGGAAATTGTCTCCGGACGTTGATGGTTTGCCACTGCCTCCGTCCAAAAATATTTTCAAAAAATAATCTTTCAAAAACATTTTCAAATAAAATCATTTCCAAAATAAATTAGTTTATTGTTTACTTTATACTTTACTAATAATTTCACTTTTCTTGTCTTGCGAGGTACTAGAACATGGAGTTGTTTTCGGGGGACGTCACCCAAAGACGAAAAGACAAATCTCCTTTCAAGCTCCCCGCTTCACACTTCCTATTCTTGGATGTATCCAACACGTAAAGTATAGTAAAGTAGTAGATAAATAATATGTTTGCTTGCTTGCTGTGATGTTTATCTATTTGTCAAACACTTAGGGTGAGTTGCATCCGGTAATAATCCTGTTAAATTGTAACATTGTACATTAGATAATTCACATAATTTGTATAAACACTTAGGTTGACAAATATGTATATTAAACTTGGCCAATCAATTAGAATTAACATACACATAATCAATCAGGTTAGTTGTATACTAAAATAAAACATGTCATCCTCTTTTTCATGAAAAAATAAAAACAAATCATTTTATCGTATTTCCTTAAAGCTATACTAGCATGCCTTTCTGACCTCTCTATATGTAATTTATTATTTAGTTAACACATTTTGAGTAGACATAATTTGTAAAGACATTAGAATTGAAATGTTGTGCTTTTCTTTGAGCGACTTGGGTCTTGTAGTCATTTGGGCTTGACTTACATAATTTGTATTTCAAGACCATGACTCTGAGAGATGGTTTTTAGCTACTCATTGAAAGATAATATACTTTTAGCGCGAATATCTCCTTGTGCCGATGGTATAATTTTCTATGTCATAAATATTTTGATACATTTTTCCTATACCATACTCATTCCATTTATCAAATTGATTCTTTTAGTTTATCTATGATCTATTAAGATTGTTCAAAGATTATTCTTTTCCATTCTTACCAACCATTTAGAGTAAATTTTATTTTAGTTTTTTTACTTAAATAGTTAATCTTTGCACATAAATTAAATTCTTTCAAAGGGTATTCTTTAATTAATATTCATTTAGTCAATCTGTAATGATTTCACTTATCACTACATATTATCTTGCACTCTCATCCCTTAAACAATTTCTTGTACAGGTTCATTCATTTTAAAATGAAATTCTTTCATACTTCATTTATTAAACTAAAGTGTTAGACATAACGTTTGTATATCATTTTACCTTGTCTTGTTTGTTGTTATTGTTCCTTATTACATTTTATACTTTAGCTAAATACAAACATTATCCCATCTTCACGTATTCTCTAAAAATACCAAATTCTTCTTTTAGGTCTTGTGCACCGATTTCAAAGAATGTAAATTATTTCATACTCTTTGTTCATTTACTTTTGCTACATGTGCATGTGAATATAAACATTCTATTATTTGCTTGGTATAGCTAATTGTCCTCTATGTAATTTAACTTTTCAATTAATCTTGTGAATGACAACCAACTCTCTTCTTACCTTATTCATTACATAAAAACTATCCAAAGATAATTCTTCACCTTTTATTGTATGTGTGTTCAATCAAGACTAATCTAGTATAAGTAAATTGCTTGGCTTTAATTATAAGTCGAAGTTTCCTCCTATACTCTATTTTGAACCTAATTCTTTCAATCAAATCCCCAAAAAGATTTTGTTTATTAATTTGCTTTGCATAACTTGTTGTATATATTTTACCAGAAACGCAATAGTTATGCTTTGAATATTTATTCGCTACGTGGCAATTGTATTGACTACTCTTTGATAGAAATCCTTTGTGATGTAGTTAATCATTCTTTTGAACCTTCCCTCCCTTATTTGATTGAGTATGCAGGAACCACATTCTGTGGAGTTTGAGGGATGCTTAACACCTTTCCCTCGAGATAACTTGAACCCTTACCTAGAATCTCAATGGTTTCGCAGATTATAATTTAGTGCATATTGCATAGTGTAGTATATGTGTCCTAGTATACTTTAAATATTAGGTGTCTTGTGCAAAATATGGTGCAACAACTTGCTTCCCGGTATGAACTGGTTTTAGCTTCTCAATCTATTACATATCATAGGCCATTGAAAATTAACATCAATTCTAGGCATTTGTTTTGAAATAGCCGCTTTGATAGTCCAAATGCTTTGATGCTTAATGTGATTCAAATGAAATCTCTTTTGACTGTCGTATCTACATGAATTCCTTTATTTCCAGATTTCCTAACATATCACAGTAGGCGCAATTTGGAGGATCAGTTTATGCACTCTATTTTGTTCTTCTCGTCCCACCATCTTTTGAATGTTCCTATGATAGTGCCAGACTCATGCTTAATACCCAGGGGATTGCCAATTTCATTCCAAATGTAAATCGCAGCATCACTATTCATGAAAGCATGTTCCATAGTTTTCACCTGTGCGAAGTTACACCAAGAACATCTAGAGGTAATGTTAGTACCAAACCTTCCTGCAGTATCATTAAAAGGTAATTTTCTTTTAAACAATCTCCAAGTAATAAAGGAAGTTTTAAAAGGAATAGAATTATGCCAAACCTTACTCATGAATTCATTTTTCTACCTTTTCATTCTGATGGAATGCCAGGCAAATTTATTAGAGTACTGACCGTCTTTTGAGATATTCGAAACATGGAAGTCCTTGTAACAATTACCAATATCTAAACTGATAATGGCATCAATTAGGTGAGAAAGGAGGATTTGGTTCAACTTATCAATATCCCATGCTCCATTGTGTAAAAAATTGTTCACTTTAAGTTTGACAGATTTCCCAGGGCCCTGTATTAGCCTAGCTAATGGACCATTACTTGTCCAATTATCCCACAAGAAGCTGGAATTACCACCTTGAATATTCCATGTGATATTAGGCTCTGCTTTGACCTTAGTCTTCATTAATTGCTTCCATGTATGAGAATTAGATGATATGGGTACTTTGCTCATTGGGTGAGATCTTTTATAATTGTGATGACCCGATAGGTCATTTATAGTTTTAACCCTCAATTCTTTGTTTTGAAACCTTGAATAGCTTCGTTTAACCTTTCTCGATTTACGTGCACAATTCGTGTCGTTTTCCCAAAGATTTTATGTAAAAAATTGATGAAAATGTGAAATCGTGTCTTAAAACTCATTTGAGTTGACTTCGGTCAATGTTTTGAGCAAACGGACCCAAATCAGTATTTTGACGGTCCGGTTGGGCGCATACCCGGAATCTAATTCAGAAGTCCTTAGTTCGAATTAACGCAATTTATTGAAAACTAGAAGCTTAAAGGTTTAAAGAATTAATAAGTTTGACCGTAGTTTGACTTTGTTGCTACCGGGTCCAAATTTTGGTTCCGAAACTTGGTATAAGTTCATTATTGTCTTTATGACTTGTCTGCAACATTTGGTGCAAAACGGAGTTGATTCGACATAATTCGGATGTCCGGTTGGAAAACTTGAAAGTTCTTAAGTTTCATTGAAAATTTCATTTATTTTGGTGTCCGATTCATAGTTCTAGGTGTTATTTTGGTATTTTGATTGCGCGAGCGAGTTCGTATAATGTTTTGGACTTGTGTGCATGTTTGGTTTGGAGTCCCAAGGGTTCGGGTGAGTTTTGAATAGGATTCAGAGTGGTTTTGGACTTAGAAATCATAGCTGGTGCAAGTTTCATCTGGTGCTGGACTGCAGACTTTGCAAATGCGAGATTTGGCTCGCAAATGCGAGCCTCGCTTTTGCGAAGGATACTTCGCATTTGCGAGCATGGGCTGGGACTGAGGTTCTAGCATTTGCGATAGTATCATGTTTATGTTTGCAATTGCGACCCAATTGTTCACATTTGCGATGGCAACAAAGGTGTGAAACCTTCGCATTTGTGAAAACTTTTTTGCATTTGCGGGGTTCGCAATTGCGAACCCCAGGTCGCAATTGCGACGTCTACGCTTGGTCAAAAGACGAGAAAGACGAGATTTTAGCTCATTCTTTTAAATTCTCAATCCTAAACTCCTTAGAGGCGATTTTTCCAAGAGCTTTTCTTCCTAAATTAATTGGTAAGTGACTCTAATCTACTTTCTTTCAATTACCCATTACATTTCATAAGATTTCAATATCAAATCTAGGATTTCCATTGTAGAATTAGAAATTTTTGTAAAATTGGGATTTAGACTTCGAATTGAGGTCGGATTTTGAATTAAATTGCATAACCGAGCTCGGGAGTGAATGAGTGATCGGATTTTGGTCCGAACCTCAGGTTTGGATCAAGCGAGCCCGGGGTTGACTTTTGTTGATTTTTTCAATAATGATTTGAATTGAACCTTTTTCATTCGTGAGTAGTTTCTAAGTTTATTTTGAATCGTTTGGTCAATAATTTGCTAGATTTGGTTGGTTTGGAGGCTTCTTCGAAAGGCAAGGCCGTGATTAAATTTTGAGTTGATTGCGGGGTGAGGTAAATGTTGGGTTTAACCTTGATTTGAGGGAATTAGGAACTCTTGAGCTATGTGCTATGTGAAATTCATGTGTAGCGGCGTATATGCGAGGTGCCGAGTGTATATACGTCGCCAAAATACTTGTTTCCATGTTTTTTCCGTATTTCATTAATTATTTCATTTCATGTCTTAACTGTTACATGCTTTAAATGTTTCCCATGCCTTTATTTGCTACTTGTCGTTTATTATTCTCGTGTTGAAAATATTAGATTCTCCAATGCTTCTATGATTTACTACTACTTGCCTTAACTAACTTACTTGTACCCTTTATTTTTCATTTATTTGACTTGTCTAATAAGACAAAAGTGAGTTGCTCTAGTGGTGAGTAACTTCCACTTTCAATTAAGAGGTTGTGAGTTCGAGTCACCTCAAGAGCAATGTGGGGAGTTCATGGAGGGAGGGAGCCGAGGGTCTATTAGAAACAGCCTCTCTACCCCAGGGTCCCTCCCTCCATGAACTCCGAGGGTCCCACTAGTGGGATTATACTGAGTTGTTGTTGTTGTTGACTTGTCTTACTGCTTAGTATTAATCATAGTAAATTCTTAATTTGGGACGAGATTTCCTTTCTAGTTCTGCTTCATATCCGTTAATCGTAGAGATTCTTGTGATTCGAGTTGTTAAACTGATCTATTTATACTATACGGTGGGATCGGGTTACGCGCCGCAACAGGTAAAATAAGGATGGATTGATATGGTGAAATAATGGTGAATTTATATTGATACAGTGGGATCGGGTCGCGTACCGTAATATATGAACTAAGGGTGAATTGATATGGTGAAATAAAGGTGAATTATGATATTGATTCTGATTATATGGTGGGATCGGGTTGCGTGCTGTAATATATATTTACTTATTCTTATTAATATTTAAATGACGAAATAAGAGTGGATAGTGTTGTACGGTGGAATCGGGTTGCGAACCGCAACAGTTTATGTGTTTTTATTCCTTATTGTGCTGTGTTGGCTTCAGTACTTTCATATGAGACTCTAAGGATTGGTATTTCTGGCATTTACTAATTTTCTTCGAAGATTGAGTTATTTTCATAAGTTAAATGCCTTATTTCGTTTTCATATTTTCCTTTCATGTAATTATTTTATACTGCATACATGTTATATTAAGTGACCTGCCTTAGCCTAATCACTATGCTCGGCACTTACAGAGTACATGTGATCGGTTGTACTCATACTATATTCTGCACTTCTTGTGAAGATTTTGGAGTCTGTCCCAATGGCGGTTAGTAGCTTGCTCGAGTTGACTATTAGTGTGGAGACTTGAGGTACAATTTCTCGGCGTTCGCAGCCCTGATGCCCCCTCCCACTTTATCTTAGCTGTGTATTTTTTCTTTCAGACAACTTTACGTTTATTCAGACCTTTATCTGTAGTATTTTAGTAGCTCGTGCACTTATGATATCAGATTCAGGGCTATATTTGATAATTCAGTTGTTATAGTTTTTCGCACTTATTTCAGAATTTACTTTAGTTATTTCAGTTTTTTTTTATATTATTATTATTTAATTTGAACTGTTAAAAATGGATAAACTATTCTAATATTGGCTTGCCTAGCAAGAGAAATATTAGGCGCCATCACGGTCTCAAGGGTTGGATTTCCAGGACGTGACAAGTTGGTATCAGAGCACTAGGTTGCCTAGGTCTCACGAGTCACGAACAAGCTTAGTAGAGTGTGGAGGATCGGTACAGAGACGTCTGTACTTATCTTCTAAAGGCTATAGAGTTTAGTAAAAATGTTACTTCTTCTTACTCTGTCGTACGATTTTATTCTATCATTGATGATTGAACCCTTCTATTCTTGTTCTCTCGCAGATGGCGAGAACACGCACCGCATCTACCGCTAGACAGGAGTCGGAGCCCCATGTGGCAGCTACGATTAGGGGTAGAGGTTGAGGTCGAGGTCGTGCCAGAGGCCGAGGCAGAGGCAGAGGCAGAGGCAGAGCTCAACCTAGAGCTCGAGCAGCACCACCACCAGTGGAGCCTCATGTATATTTTGCTGAGCGGGTCCCAGCTCAGACTGTACCTGTTGTACCAGCTCAGGTCCCAGAGGAGTTTATAGCCACTCTTGTACTTCAGGACACTCTAGTCCATTTGGTGGGCCTTATGGAGAGTGTGGCCCAGACCAGTACCTTTCCGGTGGCACCATCCATCTCTCGGGCTGGGGGAGGAGCATAGATTCCCGCTACTCACACTCCAGAGTAGGTGGCTCCCTAGTTCCAGACTCCAACAGCCCCGCCAGTTTGCGTAGTTCAGTCGGTTATTGCGGCACATGCCGGTAATAGGCCCGCTTTGTCTTCTGAGGCTATGTTGAGGTTGGATAAGTTCACCAAACTCTTTCATGTTCATTTCACTAGCGCACCTTCTGAGGACTCACGGGATTTTTTGGACCGTTGCCATGAAGTGCTGCGTAACATGGGTATAGTTGATACCAATGGGGTCGATGTTGCCGCATTTCAGATGTCTGGTTCCCCCAGAGATGGTGGAGGGATTATATGTTGACTAGACTAGCTGAGTCGCCTGCACTTATCTGGGATCAGTTCTCACAGCTATTTCTAGACAAGTTCATCCCTGTCACCCTGAGAGAGGAGTATCGCAGGCAGTTTGAGCGACTTCAGCAGGGTGGTATGACTGTCACCTAGTACGAGACTCGATTTGTGGACTTAAACTAGGGAGGCAGGGGTGCTTTTGGTAGAGACCATCTTCCCAGGCCATTTCATTCAACTCTTCAGGCATCTCACAGTGCTTCAGGGAGTCGTGGTCCTTATGTGCCTTATTCCGGGCAGCCAGCCTATAGTGCACCATCAGCTCCTATCAGTGCGCCTCTGATTCAGAGCTATCACCGTGGTTATCCGACCCATTCGGTTTAGTTTCAATTTCAGCAGCCACACCAGCAGGATGGGTGTTTTGAGTGTGGTGGTATGGGGCACATCAGGAGGTCCTGTCCGAGGTTATTGGGCGTCATGCCATAATAGAGTTCTCGTGCCATGGTTCCGGCACCGGTTGCACCACCGCCCCCTCAGCCAGCCAGGTGCAGGGGTCAGGCAGCCAGAGGTGGGGGTTAGGCTGTTAGAGGCAGAGGCCAGCCAACTAGAGACCGTCCTAGAGATATAGTTCAGAGTGGTGGGCCCCAACCCCATGTATTGTTCCTAATTTAATTCGGGATCTACTTATTCCTACATGTCATCCTATTTTGCTGCATATCTGGTTGTGCCTCGTGACTCTTTGAATGCTCCTGTTTATGTGTCCACGCCTGTGAGAGATTCTATTATTGTTGATCATGTCTATCGCTCATGTGTGGTTACTATTGGGAGTCTTGAGACTAGTGTAGATCTTCTACTTCTTGATATGGTAGATTTTGATGTCATCTTGGGTATGGATTGACTGTCACCTTATCATGCTATATTGGACTGTCACGCTAAGACAGTGACTTAGCCATGCCGGAGTTGCCTCGATTAGAGTGGAGGGGGACTCCTGGCCATTCTACCAGCAAAGTTATTTCTTATGTGAAGTGTCACGACCCCAATTCACCACCGTAGGATGTCGTGATGACACCTAGTCTCTAAGACTAGGTAAGTCTAACAAATTTGCGGAATAACATAATATAAAATTGAAGCTCAATTCTCAACCCATGAAATAAATATAAACCGCAAATCAATAATTACAACTCCCAAAACCCAGTGAAAATAAGTCACAAGCTTCTAAGAGAAAGTAGTAAGTGTTTCTATCCATCAAAGTCTAAAGAGAATAAGGGAAACAATATAATAAGGATAGAGGGGGACTTCGAGGTCTGCGGACGCTGGCAGATATACCTTGAAGTCTCCACGTACAGTCCAGCTCACTAGTATCTGGCATGGTAGGAAGAACTTGGATCTGCACAAAAAGATGTGCAGAGTATAGTATGAGTACACCACAACGGTACCCAGTAAGTGCCAAGCCTAACCTCGGTAGAATAGTGACGAGGTCAGGTCAGTGCCTTACTGGTTTAAAAGAAAAGGCAGAAGATATAATAATATTTTGAAATGGCTGAGAATTTAAACAATGAGAAGTTTCAGAAAATAACAGCACAACAAATAGAGATAAATAACAAGGGCACTCCCGAGATACCGCCTCGTAGTCCTAAATGTAAGTATGCACGACATGGGGGATCTCCCGAGGTATCGCCCCGTAGTCCCAAAGTAAATATGCAAGACATGAGGATCTCCCAAGTAAACGCCTCATAGCCCCAAATTAAATATGCAGTACATGAGGATCTCCCGAGTAAACGCCTCGTAGTCCTAAAGTAAATATGCAGTACATGGGGATCTACCGAGGAACCGCCTCATAGTCCCAAAGTAAATATGCAGTACAAGGGGATCTCCCGAGGAACCGTCTCATAGTCCCAAAGTAAATATGCAGTACAAGGGGATCTCCCAAGGAACCGCCTCATAGTCCCAAAGTAAATATGCAGTACAAGGGGATCTCCCAAGGAACCGCCTCATAGTCCCAAAGTAAATATGCAGCAGATAACTGAAGGAACAACGAATTTACAGCAAGAAATCTTACAGTTAAAGATTTAATTCAAATAAAGGGAAAGCAGGTAATTCAACTAAGCATGTTGCACAAATTGCAAGTAGGAGTTAAGGCACGTAGACATGCGATACTAGGCTAAACATGGTTACTACATATGCTAAGGCAACTCAGTTAAGGAATTTAAAAGAAGACAACTCGGCAAGAACCGAAATTTCCACATTTAGCCCGTATACACACTCGTCACCTCGCGTACACGGTGCTCACATATCACATATTATTATAACAATACCAAATTCTAAGGGGATTTCCCCCACACAAAGTTAGACAAGTCACTTACCTCAAATCTCGCTCAATCAATCTATAATGATTTTTTCTCTCAATTTTCCGACTCCGAATGACCCAAATCTAGCCAAAAGCAATTTCATATCATGAGTACAACTACAAGAAACTAATTGAAATCATAAATCTACGACTTTAGCAAAGAATCAAAAACAATCACCCCAAAAAGTCGACCCAGGCCCATGTCTCAGAATCGGGTAAAAGTCACAAAATACGAACACCCATTCGATATCGAGTTTACCCATACCAAAATTACCAAAATCCGCCACCAAGTCGCCTCAAACCCCTAAATTTAACTCTCCAAATCCCTAGTCTCAAACTCCCAAATTCTACCTTAAACACACACAATCTAGGTGGGAAATCAATGGGGAAATAAGATTATTGATCACAAATAAGTACAAGAGACTTACCTCAAGAAATTCTTCGAAAATGCATCAAAAATCGCCCTAGACCGAGTTTGCAAAGTCCAAAATGAGAGAAATCACGAAACCCTTCGGCTTTAAACACTGCCCAGGGGTTCCGCTTCTGCGATCCACTTAGCCGCACATGCGGCACCGCTTTTGCGGAAAACACGACCGCTTCTGTACTTAACCATTAGAGCTGGGCCTCCGCTTCTGCGGTCTTCACCCTCGCATATGCGCAACCACATGTGCGGAACTCCCCATTGCATCTGCGCACTCTTCGCATCTGCGCCCCCTCTTCTCGCTTCTGCGAGGCTATGACCGCATATGCGGGCTCATCTGGACAGTCCCAATTCCTCTTCTGCGGATCGAAGGCCGCTTCTGCGGTGCCGCACCTGCGGCCCAAAATGTGCAGGTGCGATTACACTAGACACAACAAAGCTTTAGCTATGCTCCAAGTCTAAATTTTGATCCGTTAACCATCCGGAATCCATCCGAGGCCCCCGGGACCTCAACCAAACTTACCAACAAGTCCTAAAATATCATACTAACTTAGTCGAGCCTTTCGATCACATCAAACAATGCTAAATATTTGAATTGCACATCGATTCAAGCCTAATGAACTTTATAACTTCAAACTTCTACATCCAACGCCGAAACCTATCAAATCAAGTCGGATTGACCTCAAATTTTGCACACAAGTCATAATTGACATTGCGGACCTACTCCAACTCCCTGAATCAAAATCTGACCCCGATATCAAAAAGTCCACTCCCAGTCAAACCTTCCAAAATTCATCAAATTCCCAACTTTCGCTAATTGACGCTAAAATGACCTATAGACCTCCAATTCAACATCCGAACATGCCCCTAAGACCAAAATCACCCTACGGAGCTATTGTAACCATCAAAACTCTATTCTGGAGTAGTCTTCATACAGTTCAAACTACGGTTAATTCCTACGACTTAAACTTCCATTTCAGGGACTATGTGTCCCATTTTACTCTGAAACAAAAAACAAATCCTCCCGGCAAATTATATACCCACAAAATGAAGTAAAGAGAGCAATAAATTGGGATTCAGGTCTACTACTCTCAAAACGACCGGTCGGGTCGTTACATGAAGGCTCGACGTATGGTCGAGAAAGGATGTCTAGCTTATTTGGCCTATGTCTGTGATTCTAGTGCGGAGGTTCCATCCATGGATTCAGTACTAGTTGTTCGTGAGTTTCCTAAGGTGTTTTCTACAGACCTACCAGGTATTCCACCTGACAGGGATATTGATTTCTGTATTGATTTGGCTTCGGGCACTCAACCTATTTCTATTCTGCCATACCGTATGACCCCGTCGGAGATGAATGAGCAGTTACAAGATTTATTTGATAAGGGCTTCATTAGACCTAGTGTCTCGCCCTGGGGTGCGCCCGTGTTGTTCGTGAAAAAGAAAGATTGGTCGATGAGAATGTGCATAGACTATCGGCAATAGAACAAAGTCACTATTAAGAACAAGTATCCGTTGTCGAGGATTGATGACTTATTTGATCAGCTTCAGGGTGCCAATGTCTTTTCGAAGATTAATTTGAGGTATGACTACTAGCAGTTGAGGATTAGGGCATCCAATGTCCCTAAGATGGCTTTTCGGACTCGGTATGGGCATTATGAGTTCCTAGTGATGTCATTTGGGATGACAAATGCCCCAGCAACATTTATGGATTTGAAGAACTGGGTGTTCAAACCCTACTTGGATTGTTTTGTGGTTGTATCCATTGATGATATCTTGATCTACTCCCGCAGTCGAGAGGAGCAGAGCAATATCTTCGGATTGTACTTCAGACTCTGAGAGATAGCCAGATATATGCCAAGTTTTCAAAGTGTGAGCTTGGTTAGACTCAGTTGCCTTTTTGGGACATGTTGTATCGACAAAGGGCATAAAGGTAGATCCTAAGAAGATTAAGGCAGTTCAGAACTGGCCTAAACCTACTTCAACTACAGAGATCCAGAGTTTCCTGGGTTTGGCGGATTATTATCGCCGGTTCGTGGAAGGGTTTTCATCTATAGCAGCCCCATTGACCAGATTGACCCATAAGGGTGTCCCGTTCAAATGGTCGGACGAGTGTGAGTTGAGCTTTCAATAGCTCAAGACTGCTTTGACTACGACGCCAGTGTTGGTGTTACCCACCGGCTCAGGATCTTACACAGTGTATTGTGATGCATCTCGTATTGGGCTCTATGTAGTATTGATGCAGGATGGCAATGTGATTGCATACACGTCGCGACAGTCGAAGGTTCATGAGAAGAATTACCTTGTCCATGACTTAGACTTGGCAACCATTGTTCACAGACTGAAGATTTTGAGGCACTATCTTTACGGCATGCCGTGTGAGGTATTCACGGATCATCGAAGTCTACAATATTTGTTCAAACAAAAGGATCACAAATTGAGGCAGAAGAGATGGTTGGAGCTGTTGAAAGATTATGATATCACCATTTTGTATCATCCCGAGAAGGCCAATGTGGTGGCCGATGCCTTGAGTAGAAAGGCTATAAGTATGGACAGCCTTACGTATATTCTAATTGGTAAGAGGCCACTTGGTGCATATGTTCAGGCGTTGGCCAATCAGTTCGTGAGTTTAGGTGTTTCAGAACCCAGTCGTGTTTTAGCTTGCATAGTCGCTCGGTCTTCCTTGTATGAGCGCATCAGAGAGTGTCAGTAAGATGATCTTCATTTGCCTGTCCTTAAGGACACAGTGCGACACGGTGGTGCCAAGCAGGTTACGGTTGGATATGATGGGGTTTTGAGGATGCATAGCCGTATTTGTGTGTCCAATGTGGATGGTCTTCGTGAGTTGATCCTTGAGGAGGCCCACAGTTCCCGGTATTCTATTCACCCGGGTGCCACCAAGATGTACCACGACTTGCGGCAACATTATTAGTGGAGGAGGATGAATAAGGATATAGTCTCA